CGCCTACGGATAATACCATTTCCATAGTTTGTCACCATTGCACAGGCATGCACAGTTTTAAAGCATGACATGTTTGGTATCTATTTACTCATCTTAACATCATCTTTTATATTTTATCAAACAATTGTGTGGTATATTGTGTTTTGTGCATTAAAATGAATAAAAGTGTATTTTTTCCCAAAAAAATTACGTTAGAAAAACCACTGCACAAATGCCATGTGAAATAAAAAAAGGCAACACCCACGATTTTGTTCTCTCAAGCCTCTGTTTAAAAAATATATAATGTTTGGGGGTTCTAAGTAATATTCTAGCAAAAAAATACAGATTTTTGCATGTAGAAAAAAAGTGTCTGAAAAGGCCTAGTCTTAAAGTGGTTATGAAGACTCTGGAGTCCATGGACCCACTGGGGTTTATTTACTAAAGCTGGAGAGTCCAAAATCAGACTCCCTTCTGCATAGAAACCAATCAGCTTCTAACCTCAGCTTGTTCAATGAAGCTTTGGCAATGAAACCTGGAAGCTGATTGGTTTCTATGCAGACGTGAGTCTGATTTTGGACTCTCCAGCTTTAGTAAATAAACCCCACTGTGTCATTGCTGACGTAGTGATTGGTAACCACTCTGATTGGTTTCTGATCATTTGTATCACCACCTGTGACATTTATGAGCCACAAACCCTGGAACATGCCCGTTCCTCTCAAAGTGAAGATGTTTAAAAAACTCAAAACCAAAAATGTATTATACACCACTCAAAAAAATTAAAGGAACACTTTTTAATTAGAGTATAGCATCAAGTCAAATAAACTCCTGGGATATTGATCTGGTCAGTTAAGTAGCAGAGGGGGTTGTTTATCAATTTCAGCTGCTTTAGTGTTAAGGAAATTAACAGGTGCACTAGATGGGCAACAATGAGACAATCCCCAAAACAGGAATGGTTTTAGAGGTGGAGGCTGTCACGATCGCATGATCGCCGCCACCAACATGCAACCTTCCCACGATCGTGACATCCAATATGTCACGATCGCGGCGTCAGACCCCAGACCTTCTCACCAAACTCGTGACCAAAGGACTAGCCAATCTAAAATGCCACACCCAGCTGCACCCTGCACAACGATTTTCCAGCTAACGGGCCACAATCGATGTACCGGCAGCCTGGGCGATTGTTACTTGGTCAGGTTAATTATGCAATTAACCCTTCACACTGCCACCACCTCCTTTTTGTACAGAGAAAGAGAAAACTCGGCATTATCAGCTATAACACTATAATGATATAATGATTGAAGTAATCAACTGCATAACACGGTCATAACCCAGGCCTGTTATACAGAGGGTTAAACAAACAGTAGCGTTCTCTTTAGAGGCAGGGATTCGTAAATTGCAATACAGAGCTATACAAACAGTTCAACGCTTTCAGAAAGAAAGATTTATTACTAAAAGGTCAAACGGGTGCAATAAAAATATTTACAGAAAAAAAAGATGTAACTAAGATATATATATATAAACTATACAAAGAACCATAGCACAGCAAAGAGATATCAGAGAGAGTTGAAAGGGTTAAGGTACTTGCCAAAGTCCTGGGTTAGCAGATCCAAGTTTCAGAGCAAAAGGGCCATGGGTCTTCCCAGGTGGTATTGATGTTAAAAAATGGGAGACGTCTTCAACTTCTTCTTTACTCTTAGGCCTGACAGCCTGGTTTAAAGTCCCCAGCAGGGGGTGGCTCTGAATTAAAGGACCAATAGCGTGTAGTTATGGGCGGATGCCTCAACTAGAGCAAAAATCTCCCATACCATATTTTGGTCTATAACTGTCCACCTGCACAAGGAACATTCCACCCGCGGGTAGATTATTATGCAGACAAATCTGAGGATTAATTAGATATGAATTATAAAACTATATACTGCACGGTTCCCGAGATATATGTTTCTGCTTCCCTGTGTGTCCAAGACCAGGCGAGTGACCCATCAAATTGTTCGCCTGCTCATCGTCCATCTGATGATGGATCCGGTTTTTATGTAAGTCTCTCATATTCCAAGATATGAGACATAGGGGAAAAATGGATTTACAAGAAGTTATCTGATTCTGTCACCTACACAGAGTTAGGTTTTATGAGGTTAGAATCTCTTTCAACTCCTGAGAAAGCTTGCCTTATCTCTCAGGAGGTGTTACAATTGGCAGGTTCTGTGAACAGAGAGACTCTGACTCTCTTGGGGGCTTTTACAGCTCCTATGACCCTCCTGTGACATTCCTAACTCACACACATACTGGCCACATGTCGCTGGGCCTCTCAGGAAGGGAGGGGGGGAAGAATGAGGGGAGAAAATGGAGATGCCTAACAAAATGGGGGACTGCGTCAGTCTCTGGTGTTGCACGTTTGTGACAGAGGCCACTGACATTTTTTTCCCTACTCATCTTTTCTGACTGTTTTTACCTAGTTTTGCATTCGGCTAGGGTCAGTGTCACTATGGTAGCATGAGGCGATACCTGGACCCTACAGAGGTTGCACAGGTAGTCCAACTCCTTTAGGATGGCACATCAATACGTGCTGTTGCCAGAAGGTTTGCTATATCTACCAGCACAGTCTCAAGAGGAGATTTCAGGAGACAGGCAGTTACTTTAGGAGAGCTGGACAGGGCCGCAGAAGGTCCTTAACCTATCAGCAGGACCGGTATCTGCTCCATAGTGCAAGAAGGAACAGGATGAGAACTGCCAGTGCCCTACAAAATGACATCCAGCAGGCCACTGGTGTTAATGTCTCTAACCAAACAGAAACAGACTTCATGAGGGTGGCCTGAGGGCCTAACGTTCTCTAGTGGTCCCTGTGCTCACTGCCCGTCACCATAGAGCTTTATTGGCATTTGCCACTGAACACCCAAATAAGCAGGTCCGCCACTGGCACCCTGTGTTTTTCACAGATGAGAGCAGGTTCACTCTGAGCACATGTGACAGACGTGAAAGGGTCTGGAGAAGCCATAGGGAACATTAGGCTGCTTGTAACATCGCTCACCATGACCGTTTTGGTGGTGGGTCAGTGATGGTCTGGGAAGGCATATCCATGGAGGGACACACAGACCTCTACAGGCTAGACAATGGCACCCTGACTGCCGTTAGATATCGGCATAAAAACCTTGGACCCATTGTAAGACCCTATGCTGGTGCAGTGGGTCCTGAGCTCTTCCTGCTGCATGACAATGCCCGGCCTCATGTGGAGAGAGTATGCAAGCAGTTCCTGGAGGATGAAGGAATTGATACCATTGAATGACCCCATGCTCACCTGACCTAAATCCAATAGAACACCTCTGGGATATCATGTTTCGGTCTATCAGACGCTGCCAGGTTACACCTCAGACTGTCCAGGAGCTCAGTGATGCCCTGGTTCAGATCTGCGAGGAAATACCCCAGGACACCATCCATCGTCTCATTAGGAGCATGCCCCAACATTGTCAGGGGTGTGTGTCCTATACTTACATACTTTTGCTAATAGGTGTCCCTCATTCCCATCTCAGAAAGTTGGGAGGCGTGCCTACACTCTGGATGAAGGAGCAACGGAGACAATTTTGGACAGCAGCATAATCTGGGAAAAGTGGAGTGTTAGATGCTCTGGCAAATTTAGATACACTAATATATTAAAGCCAAACTCCAACTCACACTTTTAAGCAGTTACAGCTAACAGTTTTGTTCCATTGTGGGGTAACAATTTTACATAAATAAATTAAAACTGATCATTTTAAGCATCCATTTTAGTGGTAAATAATTTGCCTCAACCCTCTAACCACTACTTCTGCAGGGCAGTTTGTTCTGGTGAAAAAAAAATAGACTTACTGCCCGGATCACCAAGTGAAACTAAATAAAAGAAAGTCTTAAAAAGAAAACAAATGCCATTACAGCATAAATGAATTGGTGAGCTACAATATAATAAATATTTGCTTTTGGGTTTAATGTATCCTCAGCACTGGGCATTGTACTACAGGGTTTGTGGATGGGACAAGGTTAAAGCTGCACTCTAGGCAGATACCAAACAAAGACAAATAGATATGGTTATAAGTTCATTAAAATATTATAACTGGTAAAAGTATCCAAATTTTCCTGTCTGGCTTTTGCAATTTCCTGTACAACAGAATAGTTTGGGGAAGGAGGGGGATAGTCAGGTGTTCTGCAGTCTGTGAGGAGGAGAGAGCAGAGTGAACAGGGAGATAACTCATCACTGTATTGCTGCTGTGCCTTCACTAACCAATCAGAGATTGAGTGTGGGAGTTGACCAGGCAGTAATAGTTAAATGCAGAAGAGAAATATTACATCACTGACCAGTGTCTGCTGTCTAGTAGGAATGTGTATACACTATATTGCCAAAAGTATTGGGACGCCTGCCTTTACATGCACATGAACTTTAATGGCATCCCAATCTTAGTCTGTAGGGTTCAATACTGAGTTGGCCCACGCTTTGCAGCTATAACAGCTTCAAATCTTCTAGGAAGGCTGTGCACAAGGTTTAGGAGTGTGTCTATGGGACTGTTTGATCATTTTTCTAGAAGCGCACTTGTGAGGTCAGGCACTGATGTCAGACTAGAAGGCCTGGCTCGCAGTCTCCACTATAATTCATCCCAAAAGTGTTCTATCAGGTAGAGGTCAGGACTGTCAAGTTCCTCCACCCCAAACTCACTTGTCCATGTCTTTATAGACCTTACTTTTTGCACTGGTGCGCAGTCATGTTAGAAAAGGAAGGGGCCATCCCCAAACTATTCCCATAAAGTTGGGAGCATGAAATTGTCCAAAAATGTCTTGGTATGTTGATGCTTTAAGAGTTCCCTTCACTGGAACTAAGGGGCCAAGCCCAACCCCTGAAAAGCAACGCCACACCATAATCCCCCCTCCACCAAACTTTTCACTTAGCACAATGCAGTCAGGCAAGTACCGTTCTCCTGGCAACCACCAAACCCAGACATGTCCATCGGATTGCCAGACAGAGAAGAGTGATTGGTCACTCCAGAGAACACATCTCCACTGCTCTAGAGTCCAGTGGCTGTGTGCTTTACATCACTGCATCCAACGCTTTGCATTGCTGTTGGTAATGTAAGGCTTGGATGCAGCTGCTCGGCCATGGAAATCAATTCCATGAAGCTCACTGTTATTGTGCTGATCTGAAGGCCACATGAAGTTTGGAGGTCTTTAGCTATTGATTCTGCAGACAGTTGGCGACTTCTGCGCACTGTGCGCTTCAGCATGCACTGACCCGCTCTGTCATTTTTCGAGGCTGAGTTGCTGTTGTTCCCGGTTGCTTCCACTTTGTTATAATACCACTAACAGTTGACTGTGGAATATTTAGTAGCAAGGAAATTTCACGGCTGGACTTATTGCACAGGTGGCAACATATCACGGTACCACGCTTGAATTCACTGAGCTCCTGATAGTGACCCATTCTTTCACAAATGTATGTAGAAGCAGTCTGCATGCCGAGGTGCTTGATTTTATATAAAATGATAAAAGTTTAAACAAGCGCTAGGTAAATGTGACGAGCAGCTAGCATGAACCTCAAAATCCTCAAAACCCTTCCCATAAACCAGTAATCGTATAAATGCAGCGATTTACAAAATATATGAATAAATAAATATATCAAACTGTATATGTGGTATAATTATCATAAATACATGCGCTGTGGAGCGCTATATCCACTAGTGAAAATATCGTCTTGATAGTGACGTTTAAAGTGTGGAAGTGACACAAATATAATAAATAAATTCAAAGTCCAATAAAAAATCATCAAGTGAATTTTGTGACTCCAGTGGCTTGAAAATGAATGTATATTGCACTAACCAGAAAGCGCAATATAATGCGCATTTGAGTGAATCAGACCACTCCTGGTCATCTGGATCTGGGAAGGTAACTCAGGGGATCATCTGGCACACATCAGCACGACAGGTAATCAGCACACCATCACTCTCCAGGCTCCAGGAATGTAAATCCATCCAGCAGGGGGAACCATTCATAGGTTCTTCTCTGGCTTGTTTATTGCGAGCCCCCTCAAGGTCGATTCCTATTACTCCCAATCAATACCTATGAATGGTTCCCCCTGCTGGATGGATTTACATTCCTGGAGCCTGGAGAGTGATGGTGTGCTGATTACCTGTCATGCTGATGTGTGCCAGATGATCCCGAGTTACCTTTCCAGATCCAGGTGACCAGGAGTGGTCTGATTTACTCAAATGTGCATTATATTGCCCTTGCTGGTTAGTGCAATATACATTCATTTTCAAGCCACTAGAGTCACAGAATTCACTTGATGATTTTTTTATTGGACTTTGAATTTATTTATTATATTTGTGTCACTTCCACACTGTAAACATCAATATCAATATGTTATTTTCACTAGTGGATATAGCGCTCCACAGCGCATGTATTTATGATAATTATACCACATATACAGTTTGATATATTTATTTATTCATATATTTTGTAAAGCACTTGATTTTATATACCTGTGGCCATGGAGGTGACTGGAACACTTGAATCCAATGATTTGGAGGGCTGTCCCAATACTTTTGGCAATATAGTGTATTTGACTAACAGAATTATACATTCTTTTGCAGGTAAATACAACTTCCATATACTGTAGGTATGCCCACAATATATGTAGCTGTTTGCCTGGAGTTTAGCTTTAACATACTTCAAGCAGATGTCCGCGTCAACATGATGAGGCCTATACCAATCTCCCTAGCCAGGTTTGCCAAATAACCAAGCCAATCCATGCTCATGGGTAATAATACGTTTCAAAAATAGCAAGAAAGTGGCGCTTTTCTTTCTCCATGTTTATTTTAACCAAATTGAACGTGTCTCCAGCAGCGGCAGTGATTATAAGCTGCTCTAGAAGTGATGGAAACGAGCCGCCTTTACAGAGCTCTGCTCCTCAGACAAGGCTTCACTATCTCTTCTCATTAAGCCTGCTGTCACCTGGGGCTCCTTCACCCATCTGCCAGAGCAACACCGCCAGTTAATAATACACTTTATGCTTTGCTGGCACCTGGCTGGGAAGAAGTAGTGGCTCACCAGCGCGGCTCTACAGAATAAAAAGAAGGGGAAAATGACGTTTTCCTTCACTTCCATGTGTTCGGCTTAAATGCGCCCCCACAGAAGAGCGTGTCAGTGAATATGTCTGAGCGGTCCGCCAGTCAGTTCCTCAGCGTCAGAGAGAAAAGCATATCATAAAACTCTGATCAGTTTCTGTCAAGTCGGTGAAAAGATGGCCTGAAGATGAAACCAAGCAGCAAAGCGTGTTAAGGCAACATCCGCTGGAAAAAAGTCAGTCCAATAAATATTAAGATTTATAGGTTTATTTTTTATTTTAATGGTGTAACTCCATGCAAACAATTAAATGCAGAGAAACAATTACTTATAGAAAGTTACATATATGACGTATAAAACAGTAAATATTCTCTTTTGATGCACCTACACCTGCAATACTACAGTATGAGACTGCATAGTAAATGGACAGTGAGATCACTACCCAGATCCAGCTATTTTGCAAAAGTGTGCCACTACACTACATCATTTTTGCACTTCACCTGCTATTAAAGAGCACCAACCAGGTCATGCCCATCCTAAGCTCTGTCTACCTGCCCATGAAGGTTAATGCACCAAGTTTGCTTTAGTGCCCTCCTCCCTGGCATTGCATACCCACCATTCCTTTACTCCCCTGCCAATCGGTTTATTCACCAGGCATAAAACTATATATAATATCTGGTACTTCCAGGTATGGAGGTTCATGTGACCTACTGTACATGACAGACCTGTTGCTTGGTGTTTGACTCAGTGCTAATACAGAGATAAAAAAGTGTGAGATCCCTCTTTAAGTCTGGTAAGAAATTTGGTGGTAAGGTAGGGGGACTCCATGCAAAAAAATAAAAAAAAACTGTGTGAGATTCTCTTAAAAATCCATACCAGACCATTAATCCAAGCATGCAGCTTGACCAGGAAAGTCTGGGGGACAAGTGGACGCCCCCACCCCTCTCCGGAACCATTCCAGATCACATGCCCTCAACATGCTGATGTGAACAAGAGCCTCTTCCTCACAATCATTGCCCAGTGGTTGTGGAGATCTGCTGGTGGGGGGAGAGTGATATTGGAATCTAGAAGCAAGGGGGGTAAATGAATATGGGGTACATGGTACCACTGCTCAACTACAAAAAAAAGTTGTATCCTAGAAATAAAGATATCCAAGAGTTTAAAAAGTCCAATATTAAAAATAAAAATGCCTGAAAAATGTCCCTCATTTTAAATCCAACTTCAATCACAATGTCCATCACCTCACGACTAGCCAAAAACAAAAACCTGATGACCAGGCATCCCTATGGTGACATTAGCTAAATGAAAGCTATCATCAGAATCTGGAAGCAAGGGCCACCAAATACTGGCCCCCATCCAACATAAATGAATACGGGGTATATGTTACCACTGCTCAACTACAAAAAAAAGTTGCATCCTAGAAATAAAGATATCCAAGCGTTTAGTAAGTTCATTATTAAAAATAAAAATTCCCCAAAAATGTCCCTCGTTTTAAATCAATCTTCAGTTACAATGTCCATCACCTCACGACTAGCCAAAAACAAAAACCTGATGACCAGGCATCCCTATGGTGACACTAGCTAAACGATAGCTATCTGAGCTGTCATCAGCTATATAAAAGAAGGTGCAGGAATAGTAGTGACATCATTGATGAACTATGGCAATGGCCATGCCATATTTGCACAGTGATGTCACTGCTATTCTCGCCCCCATGACGCAGGAATTCCCCATGATGTCAGTAGTCCCTAGAGACTCTCGCAGCTTCTTTAGGAACCAGTGACAGCAGAAAGCTGTCATATATGGTAGCGGGTACAAATATTGCTTCTATATATGAGGCATGACTCCTGCAGAATGGGCTAAAGTTCAGGCATCTGTCGGAACACCTGAACAGCCAAAGATCTGTCTGAACCTAGATTTGGGCTGAACCATTGGCTCATCCCTAGAAATAATCATGATAACAAAAGACTGAGGTACAATTCTGAATGCTAACTATGCATCAAGGTATTTCTGTTTTTATATGAGAATGTACAAGGACTTTCAAAAAAGTTTTAGCCAATAAAAACTGCAATGGAGGCACAATATACAAATTGCAAGAGATACCAACTAAATCAATTTAATTATTTTGTACAGTTCACAAAGACTAAAGCAATTCTAATAATAGATTTTATCCCTTGCACAGCAAAAGATAAAGTACTATACTTTGCAACAACCAAGGCTACTACATTATGTATGGATGGAGTTTAACAAATGGAGCATTGAAATTCAATTGTGTGAAGTATCACTGAATTTACACAATTCCCCCTCCCCCAACACGCATGCGCGCACACACATACACAAGAATTAAAGCTTTGAAATTTCCAAGAAGCAAAAAACAAATAAAGAACAAATTCAGTTTTATTGCTAAACTTCAAGCAATCATCGACATTCAAAGTTAAAATTTATGTATTAGAGCTGTATTATGTGTGATGAATCAGCCCTGCCAAAGAGCACAGACAGGTTGGACCTCACTTTTTTCTGCTGTAATTTATGAAACACCGTCATCCTGCCTATGCACGATGACAATTGACAGTGTGCGCAAAGGTAATCCCCAGACTCCCTTCTATCCACTTTATCTGTGCTCCTCCACAGCTCTTTGCCCCTTTGCAGCCAGTGCTAAAATTGTCTGTGTTGGTGCCCCATGGGAGCGGTGATGTCAATCCCCTTGTTATGTGACAGTGCTTGGACCATGTTATTGGGTGCTAGGAAGGGAAAGATGTAAAAAGCAGCACAGAAACTAGCTTTGCAGCTATGCTTTTAATGAGCTTCGTTGGAGATTCCAGTTCTGAACCTGTTACTCTGCACGCCATAAAAAACAAATATACAGGCAGCGAATATTTTATCCGGTATTGTTGCTATTATCCACACCCTGCAGTGCCCCATGTTAATCATATGTAGCACTACCCCCTTAGGGATTACTGAAGAATTAGGGTCCCTCTGTAGTCCTGCACAGCCAATAGCATTTTCCACACAACTTTCATCTACAGACAGAAATCAGGCCTTGAGTGTTGGGTTAGTTATTTTATTGAGGGGATTAAACTTGGATAGGGTATAGTGGTGTATAGGATGCCGAAGGGAACCAAAATCTGAAGACAACTTCCTGAACAATTCACAGCTTCTTTTTCTGATGCAGTCTCTGTTGGAGTGCTAGCCAGTAGCTCCAGTTGTACTACCCAAGACCCTAGATGAACTCCTCTTCTCCCAGCAATCCTTAGACTTCCTTCCTGAGCAGGGGATCTGGTTCCTGTTTGCTAAGTGGATAACAGTTACTAGCATCGGGCTAATCTGGTTTCCCACTAGAGTGCTCCTTCCCCTATCCACCCAGGGGGTGTAGGTGTACTTATTCAGATCCGCTCC